GGGGTTCGCAGTGGGGTTCGCAGTGGGGTTCGCAGTGGGGTTCGCAGCCACACTGCCTGCAGAATGGGGCGAGAGGACGGAGCGAATGCAGACCAGTTAAGAATACCTGGCACTTTTCCAGAGAACCCCGACTTCAGTCCCCAGCACCCACAGCAGGTGGCTCAAAGTCACCTATAATCCAGCTCCAAAAATCTGACCCCTGTACACATGTGGTACACACACACACACACACACACACACACACAGAAAAACAAAACCAAATTTTTAAAAATATCTCAGTCTACCGGGCAGAGATACTCAGAGAAACCCTGTCTTGAAAAACCAAATAAATAAATAAATAAAAATTATAAAACATCTCTGTAAACTATAAAATTAAATAAAACCAGGAACACTATTTTTGAATTCAGAGAGCAGCTTCCTCCGTTAAGGTAGCAGTCATAGATATCAAGTCATGCAGGTCCTGGGACTCTTGCCTGTGAGCGGCAGAGATCTTACAGGAGCCCTGTGAGGACCTTGCAGGTCCTCGTTATGGCAAAATGTTTCTAAGGCTCAGAGAAAAGATGCTGTTGGTTTCTGGAAAGTTCAACTCGGGTCCTTGTGGCTTCCAGCAGTCACTGCTCACGGTCTCCTTCCAATTCTCTGACACTAGGAGACCCTAATTTCAAAAGGTTCTAATTCTAGCATATTTTGTAAGGCATGAAGTTTCATATGCTACATCTCTAGATTTATGTGTCTTATATCTTATGCTTGAAAAACGTGTTTAACTGAGGCGATTTTAGAACTGTCTTCCCTGTTTGCGGCATGTTGTATTTTATGGGACTGACCTCTTAGATTTGATGAAATGCAATCCTTTTTTTTTCTTCTTCTTCTCCTGTACTGTGGAGGTCTCATCATACCTAGTTAAGTGGTCCACTACTGAGCCACATCACCAGCCAGATAGCAGCTTTGAAAGAAGCTTGATACCTGGTAGGGTTTGAATAGGAAATGTCCTCCTATAGGCTCACATGTTTGAGCACTTCACCCTCGGCTGGTCCTGGCAGAGGCAGGGCCACAGTGACAGGGCTAGAGGGTGGCCACTGCTTCCTGATCTGCCACCACTTCAACATCTCGAAAGTTTGCATGTGTCATTCTCAGACAAAAGTAACTACCACAGTATCCGCCTGAGAAAATGCAAGAAAACATTCTCAGTTCCATCAGGTATTGGAGAAGCTCAGTTTCAACAAAATGGTGCGGGGGTGGAGAGATGGCTGGCTGTGTGTGGCGGGGGTGGGGTGGGTGGGGTGGGGTGGTAAGAGCACTGTCTGATATTACAGAGGACCCAGGTTTGGTTTTCAGCACCCACACAGCAGCTCACAGCCCCCTGTAACTCCAGCTCCAGGGGAACTGACACCCTCTTCTGGCCTGTGTGGCGTAGCACACATGGGGTTCACAGACATACATACATAGGGAACATTCCCACACATAATATGGATTAATAAATAAATAATAATAAACATTAAAAAAAGAAAACCTCACAAAGAAAAGGTCAAAATGTCGAGTAATCTATGTAGACCCAGATTCTAGTGACAAAGACATTCTCTTCTTTTCAATTCCCTTTTTTTTAAACCTTATGGATTTTTTTATTTCTCTCTGAATCCATTTACACACACACACACACACACACACACACACACACTTGCAAAAAAACTTGCAACAACTTTGGAAATTTCCACACATCTGGATGTCTGTCTTGGCAGTTACAGTGATCGTGAAGGGCAGCTGTGCCACAGAACAGAAGGTCCTTTGTAGCGATGAAGAGGGGCACCAGGACTACGCTGGCGACCTGAGGTGGGGGGAACAGATCTCGAACGGCAGAATGAATTTTAGGGTGCCTCCATGTCTAGCTGGGCCCACTGCCTGAACCATCAATTGTGGTCTATGCTTATTTACTTCATCTGGAAAACTGGCAGTGGGCCACCCAGACACAAAAGTACCAGTTTGTGCTAGATTGCTAGACAGCCCCTGCACCCAAGTGACAGCTGGGGAAGGCGCCTGTGGAGATGGCCTGTGTGCAGAAATGCAGACTGCAGCTTGCTATCGATGAGTCTGGGAGGAAAGGCCGCTCATCTCCAGCTATAGCTCACACCTCTTGTCCTCCCTCCCTGCATCTCTCCTTGTGTTTTCAGTATCTAGACTAGTCCCAGTTTCTATACCCTCCCAGGCTTCTGCTGACATTACTCTTTCTGATACATATGAGTTAAGCCATAGAGTGCAGACCTGTAAATTCCAGCTACTTGGGAGACTGAGGCAGAAGATTTGAAAGTTCAAAGCCAGCCTATGCAATTTAGTAAGCCCTGTCTCAAACTAAAAGTAAAAAGAGGGCTGGGATAGTTCAATGACAGAACACTTCAAATTTGTACTTGCGCGTGTAAAGCTCTAGCTTCATTCGCCAGTACTGCCGAGAAGACAAAACAAAACAGCAAAGGAACAGCCCTCCTTCTGAGTCCCCTTCCTCCTCTGTCAGCGCTCTTCCTTTTGTCTGGCCATCTTATTCAAGGGTGGGGAAACCAGAACCTCACTCCCTGGTCTGCCTGAAGAGCATTTCTTCACCATCTCTAGCTTCATTTATAAAAGTTGGAAGGAGACTAGCTACGTGGGCTCCACTACCCCATGGTTATAATCAGTGGCAGCTGTCCTTGTAGGAGGGACTTCAGTTCCACTTTTCTCCAAGGTCTGCACTACTTCCTGCCAGTGCTGGCTATCGCTGCAGACCCCTTTGCAACCCCTGTGCATTTTCTGACCCCCTCTTCCAGCTCTCATGGCACGGTGACCCAATACCTTATTTTCAGCCCCTGGAGGGCGAGAGGCCTTTCATCTTTCTTGGCATTGTTCCTGGACCCAGGAAGCACAGAGTAAAGGAGCGAAATGTCTGAGTGAATGCAGGAGGCCATGGGTAGGGAGGCACATCCTCCGAAACTCCAGGTCACCTCCACGCTCCTGTGATATTCCGGGATGGAGACCTGACTGGTACTTCTGGACAAAGGGCACAGACAAAAATAGGGAAGACAAACTCACCTTGCAGTGGATACCAGGAGTACCCGTTAGTGATGCCGTTGGGGAAATGCCGCTTGTTTTTACACTGATCTCCTTTCGTCATATTGGGATTCCGGGAAGCATAGGTATATGCGAGGTGTTGAAAAACGTCATCATCTGGAGTTAGACTTCGGGACAACAGTGTCCCCGTAGCTGTGTTAGAAAGACAAAGGGACACAACAACACATGAAAAAACATCAGTTGACACAGTCAGTGCACGCAGACAGTTTCAGTCCCACTTCAGAACACCCCCTTTGGTGGTTTGCATGTAACGGCCTCCTTAAGCCCATAGAGAGTGGCACTATTAGGAGGTATGGCCTTGGTAGAGGAAGTGTGTCACTGTGGGTGTGAACTTTGAGGTCTCTTGCTCAAGCTATGCTCAGTGTGACACTTGGTTCACTTCCTGTTGCTTGTGAATCAAGATGTAGAACTCTCAGTTCCTTCTTCAGCACCATGTCTGCCTGCACGCTGCCAGGGATATGCAACCCCTGTGAAAATGTGAAAAGGTCGTTCAACCCACAAAGGGGTTGCAACCCACAGACTGAGAACCACTAGAGTCAACACCATTCATGAGATTAAAAAACAAAACAAAACAAAAAACGGTAAACCATTTTGGTCTTATTTTCTTCTAGCCATATAATCTAAGTCTGTGATGCCTCTTCACCTGGCTGTAGGATTTCCCCCATGGGTATCTTGTTACTGTTGTCATTCAGCCACACCGCTCATCCACTGTTTAAGAATTATAGGAACCCAGGCAGAGGCAGGCAGATCTCTGAGTTCAAGGCCAGCCTGGCCTACAGAGCTACAGAGCTAGTTCCAAGACAGGCTCCAAAGCTACAGAGAAACCCTGTCTTGAAAAACCAAAATAAATAATAATAATAATAACAACAATAACAACAACAACAACAACAATAGAATTATAGGAAGAGCTGGCCATGTGGATCAGGCTACACAGCACTGGCCAAGCCTGTACAAAACTCTGGATCTGATGCCCAGTATTTCATAAACCAGACCAGGTGGTGCAGCCTGTGAGGGTCACAAGTTCAAGTTCAAGGTCATTCTCAGCTACATTGTTCCAGGTATTCTGTTACACACGAGATTCATTCTTACTCCGTTTTCTCCACAAACAAACAACAACAAAACAAAAGAAAACACCCCAACAACAGCAAGGATTGCTCAGGGTTAGGGAAAAGGAGGCTTTTTCTGGCCAGCCAGAGCGGGGCCACATCACCCACCTTGCACGCCATTATCGAAGGGGTAACTGGCCACCAGGGCGCCCCCATGGAGATTCGCAGAGAGGACAAATGTCTCGGTTTTCAGCCACTTCATGACTGCCAGTGTCTCCGGCTGCTTTGTCACGTTATTACTTTCAAAGGCATCAGGGAAGTTTCTGTTCAGGTCATAACTGTTGAAATTTTCCCTTTAAAAGAAAGGATTTTTTTTATTGGGGAGTGTGGCTCCAGGTGTTTCCCAGATGTGAATACAAGTGCAATGGATGATTGATGTGGGGACCTCCCTTGAATTAAAGTCCCAGTCCCTACTGTGGTTTGCGCTCCCGATGGGACATCAGTTACCGTGACAGAAGCACAGGCTGCAGAACCGGCTGCCTTCTGGGGCTTCTGTTCTTGGGATACTGCCTTTTAGACACGGAGGCCACGGAGAACAGTGAGGAACCCAGGTGACAGCCAGAATGCGATGCCAGACACATGGCTCTAGGCTAACTGTCTCAGACAGACCGGTGCTGAGGCCCCAGAGAGAGCAGGGACTGATATCCATCTGGCTTTGTCCCCTTCTAAATTCGGGACTTCTAGAACCAGCAGTCACCATGTTGGCAGTGGCTCCTCACACAGCACCCAAGGGCAGACGCAGGTCACTCTATATAAATATGCTTCAGATTGCTGGTGTGGTCATGCCTAGTTATGCTAGAAAAATTAAAGATGAAGGGAATCCAGTCCTGAGAGTTTCCTTAGTTATTTTTGATAAACCCAACAAATTTATAAACTGTGCAAATATATGTGTCTCTTAAGCATGGAGAAACCCTCAACTCCCTAAGGGACTTTGAAACAAAATACACTATTAGACCATGCTGTAGCATGCACACTTCTTAGGGTAATGGATTAATAAACCAATGGGTAACTTTGGAGGGGCTGTGTATGATGCTAGGCCAGTAGTTCTCAACCTGTGGGTCAGGACCCACTTGGGGAGGCTGAACAACCTTTCCACAGGAGTAGCCTATCAGGTACCCTGCATATCAGATGTTTACATTATGGTTCATAACAGTAGCAACATTACTGTTGTGAAGTAGTGATGAAAATAACTTTACGGTTGGGGGTTGCAGCGTTAGGAAGGTTGAGAGCCATTGTGCTAGGCCAATGCCATGCTAACAGTGATAACACAAGGATAAACCGCCCTTGGTAGCTCGCAGTTTCATGGAGAGAAAGATATGAAATTTAGGGGCCCGTGTGATGGGTTAACAGGTAAAGATGCCTTATGCCAAGCCCAGGGACCTGAATTTGATCCCCCAGACCCACCAACATGGTGAAGGGTGAGAAGCAATTCCCACAAGTTATTCTCTGATCTCTACATGCCCACCATGGTAGGTCCTAGATCATGCCCCACAAATAAGTAAATAAACACAATATATATTAAATAAAAATTGTGCCATGAAGGTACAGTGTGAGAGGATCAGAAAGCACACAGGGGACTAAATACAGGCGACACGTTTGGGAAAAGAGTTTTTATAGTAAAGCGAGTTGGGCAGCTGATGGGGATGAAGAATGGAAATGGGTGTTACGCAGTACCTGAGCTGAGAGAGGCCGAACGAAGCAGGGAGGATGAGAAGTGGTCAGCAGAGGCCGAGGGACAGGTAGGCACCATGTACCATCCTACAAGATGGAGCCTGAAGGGCCTCAGGGCCCTTGTGCCAGGCACGGGCACTGGGGAACTTCACTGGGAGACCAAGCCCTCTTTACCTCCCATTACTGTAGTAACAGTCGGGCTTCTTGACAGCTTCAAATCCATCTGGGTTCATGGAAGGCATGATGTGGATCCGAGTGCTGTTGATTAGATGTGTGATGTCGGCATCGTTCCCGTGACTGCTCACCAGATAGTCGATCAGGTGAAGCAGCAATTCTCGCCCCACAGTCTGTGTGCCAAAGAAGAACGGAACTGTTATTAAGTCAGAAAAAATAAGAAAAAAGTTCCCTAACGCTCAGCTCCCCTATGGGGGTCTCACATTGGCTGTCTTTGATAATTTATGAGGCCGCCTATTTTCTTTTCTTTCTTTTCCTTTCCTTCCTTTCCCCCTCCTTCTCTCCCTCTCTCCCTCCTTTCTTTCCTTCTTTTGGTTTTTCAGGAAAGAGTTTCTTCCTATAACAGCCCTGGCTATCCTGGAACTCACTCTGTAGATAGACCAGGCTGGCTTCAAACTCAGAGATCTGCCAGCCTCTCCCCCAGAGTGCTGGATTAGAGGTGTGTGCCACCACCAGGTGAGACCACTGAGTGTCAAGCATACAATGACGATCATCAGTTCACAGCAGAACGCTGAAAAGGATTCTTTAGTGACAGTTCTGGAACTCCTTTGTAAATCTGCTCTTTGCATGTGTGTGACCAAGTGAACGCAGAATAATTCAGACTGGAATAAGAATTAGAGTAACAGTTCTTGTCTTCATTCCCTCGTCTTCCAAGAGACAAGAAGACAGCACATGAAACCCAGCGCCAAGTCAGACACTGGACTTTAATGTGGTTAAGCTTATTAACTGAGCTCAGGATCTGAGCAGGTTTCAGCATTCCATCGTCTCCTTTTACAGTCTCTGCTTTTGCGTGTCTGTCTTATTTTTCTGTGTATTTCTGATCTTTACATTCTTACGGCCACGGGACTTCACCAACCACACACTGTTCACAGCGCTGGCCATATGCTTGGGTTTATGTGCACTGTTATTTCCTCACACACTCATTTTGTTTACATGAAAAGTAAAGCTTCGGGGATGGAGAGAGGGATCAGTGGTTAAGAGTGCTGGCTGCTCCTCCAGAGAACCTGGGTTCAAGTCCCATTTGGTTGCTCACAACCATCTGTAACTCCAGTGCCAAGGTTCAGTGCCCGCTTTGGCCTCTGCAAGTACCAGCCATATCTGCAGGCAAAAGACCCACACATAAAATAAAACTAATAATCAAACATTAAAAATGAAAGCAAAACCAACTGATTCCAGCAGGTTGTCCTCTGACCTCCACATGTGATCCTGTGACACATGTGTGCCCAAACACATGCACACGTGCGCACATGCACCCTCTCTCAAGTACACACAATAAATAAATAACATAATAAAGAAACTAAAAAATCCAGAATATCAAGCCCTCTGTCTAGTTTTACTTCAGTTTATATATTAATATTAATACATTGCATTTGACTAAATTTCATGCATTTTACATGCCGAATGTGCTACACATTTTATTCTAGATTTTTAAAACTTTTTGTTTAATTTCAAAATTTTGTTTTCTGTGTATGGCTGTTTTTCTTGCATATGTCTGTGCACCATGTACATGTCCGGTGAGGCCAGATGAGGACATTGGATCCCCTGGAATTGGACTTGTGAGCTGCCCTTAGGAGCTGGGAATTGAAACCTGGTCCTCTGGAAGAGCAGCCAATGCTCTTAACCGCTGAGCTGTCTCTCCAGCCTCCCCCTGTCTCCCCTGCCAGGTTATTTTAATTTTTCCTATTCTCTTACCACAGAAATTTATGACTTTCTAGAAAGACTTTTGAAAATATTAGTAACAGTCATTCTGGGTGATAGTTCCTGAATTGCTTCTCAATGCTTATTTTTCTAGTATCAGTTTTGAAACAAAAGAAAACCCATGCTGTCATAAAATAATACAATGGCGTTTCTTTCAGAGGAAAGCCGTGTGGAACCAAAGAAGTATCTGTCTTAATATTCCAAAAATAAATTCTTAGTGCCTAACTATAGAAGGTTAAAAAGAAATCTCATGAATGCGAAAAAATGGCCACGCAACAGTTAGTTTTAGAAGGCTGAGAACACACGACATCCTAGAGGGAGTTAAACAAAATCCTCTCATTTTTTTTTTAAATTGGGCCATGTTTGCTGTCCCTGTGATTTACGACAAATATTATTCAAATGTATTCTCCCCAGCCTGAATGTAAATGCCTCAAATACCCATTCATGTTTTAGGTATAAACCTCCCTTTTTTCCTTAAGTTTAAGGCTTGGAGTGTGAAGCTTCGGGTGCTCTTTGAGAGTTTGTGGTGAAACGGCCTCTCTCCACACCCACTTTCCAGAGAACACAGGCTTCTCAGCAGGGTCCCCAGGAATGAAGTTGGGCCGGAGACACACACACCAGCTTCTGGGACCCCCACCCCCACTCCACCCCAGCCCAGGTGACTCAACTCAGAAAGCAGAAAAAAAAATCCACATCAGTTTAGTTCAACACAGCCAAGTGGGAACTGGTCAGGTAGATAAAAATGTGTCTGGGTCTCATTCTACAAAGAATGCTTAGAAACAGTGGAAATGTTTGAAAGAATCTCCATGGCAGGTGCCAAGAGAGAGCAAGTGGGAAGGAGGCCAGGAAAGAGCAGAAGTGGGGAGGGGACGACGGGAGGGAAGGACAAGAGCAGAAACCTGAACTAGCGAGAGTTGTTTTTAAATTGCGCACACCTTTAATCCTAACACACCCAAGGCTGAGGCAGGCAGGTCTCTGTGAGTGCAAGGCCAAACTGGACTACTGAGTTCTAGGGTAGCGTAGTGAGACTATTATCTCAAAAAACAAACAACCACATTGTAAGAAGGCAGCTGGGGTGGCAGTGGCATCAAATCTGTCAGTTTGGGTTGTTACAGGTTTGATCCATTTGACTGATTGCTTAGTCCTCCTGGTCAAATGTTGGCTGACATAGTGTACTATCTGGCATGCTTTCTCTGGTCTCCACATCTAAGTTGTGGTCCCATTAAACTTGATGTCTCTGTTACTAACACAGATTGTAGTGCCTGAACTAAAACCACCTTCTCATTCCACTGAAGCCTACAGAACAGAGATCCTAACTGTTTTCTTCTTGACCCACAGATCCTCTGGACTTAATGCCTAGCTTCTGGCATAGCATACATGCTGTGGAATATTATTTTAACAGAACAAAGATGTGCTACATTTGTTTCTGCTGTCTTTGTTAATGATGTAAAGACGTATTATATTTGTTTCAGCTGTATTTGTTTAATTATGAGAAGATGTGTTTCTGTTTCTCCTCACCTGCTTCAGACACCTGATTGGTCTAATAAAAAGCTAAACGACCAATAGTTAGGCAGGAGAGGGCTAGGTGAGGCTGCGAGCAGAGCAAATAAGTAGGAGGAGAAATATAAGCTAGAGGGAGAACAAGAGAAAGGAGAGAAGAAAGAACAAGGGAGAAAAAGAGCTGGAGACTCCCAGGGCCAGCCAGCAAAGTCACAAGAGAATCAGGAAAAGTAGAACAGACAGAAAGAAAGAAAGGTAAAAGGCCCCCTGTGGCAAAACGTAGACAAATGGAAAAGAATAAAATAAGAACTAAGATAAGGCCAAGCACCCATAACTAATATTAAGTCTCCATGTCATAATTTGAGAGCTGGTTGGTGACCCAAAAGAAAAAGCATGGTACACAGTCATCTAATGAACAACTGCTAATAAATTACTGTTGACAAACCCTTTACAAGATGAGGACTGTTCTAAGGAAGAAACAAGAGGGCCTAAGGCACGGAGAGAGACGGACCCTTGATAAATTTAGTCAAAAGACTTTCAGTGTTGAGCAGACTTTGCAGAGTGAGAGCTGATAGCTCTGCTATGACAAGAACTTGGGATATCTGGTCCCATTAGCCACAGGGAGAGGGAGAAAGGCTGCACATGAGCACTCCACTAACACATACTTCAAATCAGTTAGGTACTTCGTCTGGAATAATCATTAGTTCTGTCTAAATCCCCAAATGAGGAATTATTCAAACCTGTGAGGGCCAGCCATAATAATCTAAGTCTGGGCAGGCCACCCAAAGGAAGTTCTTTACTTCCAACCATTATCACCTGGGAATCTGGCCATCGATAAATTTAATCAGAGGTCTGAGTCTCAGTAGTTTACCCTGAGACAATGCCTGGCTGCAGAGGAACCACAGATTGCCCCATCACCACCCAAGAGCAGACCATTCAAAGGAAATGCCTGGCATTCCAAGAGCTGTAGATAGAGACACCTGTCAGCGCACCTCAACAGGACACTCCTAGATAAATGTCAGCCAATTAGGGGCCCTAAACCTCAGAGACCCCTCACCACCACTTTACTACTATAAAAACCCAATTCTAATGGAGCTCGGGGCTCTCCGATTATTCTAATACGTTGGACATGCGGAGAGACCGAGTTTGCAAACTTGATTAAAATAAAGGCTCTTTGCTTTTACACATGGGACTCGGTTTCCTTGTTGGCCTTGAGGGGACTTCGCGGATTTGGGCACAACAAACCCACACTGCCTACATGAGAGTGCATGACAGTAATAGGAAAAAGGTCCTGGAAGTGACATTTGGAAGGACAAATTTTACTATTTGGTTTGTTTTAATAAATGTGGAACCCTGACCATTGAACTACACATCTTCCAAGCTGTCTCAGTTTATTTTCTACTGTTGTGATAAACTGCATGACCAAAAGCAACTTGGGGAAGAAAGGTTTTAATTCATCTAAGAGCTTGTAGTCCATTATGAAGGAGGGCAGGGTAGGAACCTAGAGGCAAGAACTGAAGCAGAGGCCGTGGGTAGTGTTGCTTACTGGCTTGCTCATACAACCAGGAGCACCCACCTGCCCAGGGGTGGCACCATCACTGTGGGCTGGACCCTCCCAAATCGATCATCAGTAACATAAGTAATGGTATGAAATGTGATGGAGTTTTCAAGTCTATAGCAAACAAACAACCATGGAAAAAAAAATTCATTGCTGTGCACTACGGACAGATATGATATAAACTTCAGAAACAAAACAAAACCCTTATGACCCACCACTGGAAAAAAAAAAACCAGAACTGCAATCCAGTTAAACTTAACGAGTATTCACCAAGTATTTATTTCTACAGTAATTAGAGCATGGGCCCTGAGGTCAAGGAAACCTGAGCTAGTTCCCTCTTCTCTGTTGCTGGGGTAG